ACTGTATTTTTATAGAGCTATTAAGTACAACAGAGGATTATTTTTGCTAATCTAAGAGTGATCTCATGGTTTTAAAAATCATATTTAAATCATATTACCAATGTATCCTACAACTCTAGGTATTAATTCATCTAACCTCATGGTCTGTCACACTAAGCAGTTAAGCATGTTTTAGAGGTGCTGAGCTACTGTTTAGATATGTCTCCCCACTGTATTTCTGGTTATTGGGTTCCAACTTAATCTTGACTAAATTAATGCCAGCATCAAGCCAAATTAGATGAAAGCCAGGCAGAACAAGTACAAAGAGCAGGTCATGTTCACTTGAGCTCAGACAGCTTTATAAGGATTGGGTCTATGTGTTTCATTTTTTATTGAATGATATAATAGTAGAAATGTGAAAGAGGACAAAATGAAAAACATTCACATACTATTAGGGCAACCCCAGATCTGGTTTTTGAAAATAAAGATACTTTATATGTTTATGAAGATAAGCAAATACAGGAAAATATATTACATACCTTAAAGTGTTTTGTTAAGCTGACTTAAAGCTGTGACATTTGAGGTTATAACTTTTTTATTCTAATGGGAAGATCCATCTCAAGAATTTTAAAACTGATAATGGCTAATTCATGGTGTTTTAATTAACCTTAAAAAACATAATCAAAGAAGGGTCCCCTATGTTATACCTTTCATGTGCTAATAATGTCTGTAAATTAGATGTATTTTATGTGCTACAATTTTTCGGTTCCTTTGATATGATAAAGTAGACAGACTGTAACAGAAGGTTATTGTATGTAACTAAAGGTGGAGTGTACTGGAGAGTACTGGTGCCACTGACCCACTAGTGCACACGCTGTGTGCCCATCACTGATGCATGGTGGGTGGGTTTCCCTAGTCAGGGCCTACAATGCCTGAAAGATGCCCTGAACCTGGGCTTTTGAGAATTTCAAAGGAATAAAAAAAGAATAATTGAACACCATGAGTAAAGAACATAACAAAACACCTATGGACAGGTATAGCATATATGGAACATTGCTAATCTAAAGATTTATTCCTTCTTTTGGAGGAGGGATGCATATAGTACAATTGCACTTTTGCTGCTGTTATGTCCTCTGCCTGGAGCTGTACTATTCCCTGGCTCCCAGCCTGGCTCCTCCACTGCCAGCTGTATATGTGGGCAAGTCACACAAATGCCAGGAAACTATCTCCTCTCAGAAAACAACTGGTGTCAGTCACACCTGTCTTGTGATGTGCTAGTGACTATGTTCATAAAATGCTTCCACTGGGCTGTGAATTTTAGCAGTCAAGGCTGTGTTTCAATGAACTTTTTATGCCTGGCTTTAGTACAATGCCTGGTACATATTGATACTGAATTGACGGCCCCACTACACAAGGCTGCATGTGGTGGGGAGGTGATGGCTGAGGCAGGCTGGGTTTCATGAGTTTCAGAGTCAGCTTTGGAAAGAAACAGGGATTAGTCATTATATTTGCAGATGGCTCCAGAGGAGTGATGCCTTTCAATTAAAAGTTGAGGACAAATGCACTCCTCATGGAGTGCAAGAAGCTCCATATAGGCCAACCCTTTGAAGAGACAACACAATCAGCTCATTCCAGGTGCACTGGATAAACAACAATAAAAGCCACTTTCTTACAATTCTTGCAATGTCTGAAACTAAGGGACAGATTCCAAGTTCTAAGATAAAGTCCGCAATAAAAAAATACAAACATAAGAAAAAGAATTCAAAAGTAAAAGATACTAAGTGGTGATGGCTCAAGTGGTATTGCAATTGCCTAGCAAGTGAGACATCTTGCTCAAAGAGAGAGAGAGAGAGAGAGAGAGAGAGAGAGAGAGAGAGAGAGAGAGAATATATTATATCAGCCCCATGATGACCACCTCAATCTTATGCCAAAGTCAGCTCATTTTATACAAGAAGTACTCAAAGAATGAAATACTGAGGCTGTAGAGGAAGGGAGCCACTGTGATGTAGTCTTAGGAATTATTCTGGTTGGGACTTCTGAACCAAAGAGGAAGGCTGTGATTCTTCTTGGTTGTATTCTGCTCGATGTGTTGACAATGTGGAAGCCATTGATATGTAGGTGTCACATCTGTATAAATACTATGGATTATTTGCTACATTAAATTGTTCTCATGCTGTGATTTTGTGCTGCTCTTTGCATCTCTTCACAAAGGAAGTTGTGGATTTGCTGCTATCCACACACCAAATGATACGCCAGCTGACTTTACCCATCCAATCGTAATTGATGCTCACATAAACAGAGCAAGGTACTTTTCATTTTATAAATGAAGCTTCTGAATCTCAGAATGTAGATACTTATCAAGGTAGGCCTAGTAGATAACCCAAAGCTGTTGCAAACCCCCCCACCCCAATTTGTTACAGGTCTCCTTGGCCAGAAGTCTGGCCAGCATGGTGAAAACCGGAAGAGGACATGACAGGACCATCTCACAGGTACCCAGACATCTCCTGGTGAGGGTAGTGCGCAACAGTGGATCCAGGACATGCCAGATTCAACCTCTGGAGGGAGTCATAGATCTTCCCTGGTATTTTCCTACACATAGCTAGGGTTCTAGGTTTCTCAGGTAAAAATAATTTGGTGTTAGTATGCAAAACCTGATTGTGCTAACCCTGTCTAGATACATGAGGTCTTACAAGATGACTACAACAAGGCCTAAAGAGTCTTTCACTACTGTTAGTCAGGACAGGGTATGAAGAACAAACTCAGCTATAGGAATAGCTATCCACTTCAACCCTGAGATACAGGACTTCAGGCCTAAACATACAAACTAGGGAGGATTACAGTAACTGCAGTATTTGCTTTCAGGGATGAATACAAAAGTATAGCCATTCTTGGACATTGTCACATTATTGCTGTGATCACTTTTGGTCCTATATGACTTTTATTTTGAGGAATATTATCATAGCTCTTGTCATTGCTTAGGTAGCACTACAATCAGTGAACAGACAGTCTGTGCATCTGGCAGAGAAGACAGCCATTCAAGCTCTTTGAGGAGTTCCTTGCTACTAATGTCCTGTCCTTGTCATTTTTGTCATTATTCCTCAATAAGGACCCAGAAGACTAAAAGCAAGATAAAAGGGGGCTAGCTCCTGCATGGTGGACCTGACCTTCAGACAACGGTAGGCAGTTCACAAGTCGGGACCACTCAAAATGTTTCAGTTTTAAAACTGCTGATAGGTATTACCTCTAAAGTAATGCAAATAATGTGGGAGAAACAGATGGTTGAAGGCAGGTTTGGGTGAGGTGAGTGCCATTCTCAGAGGTACTCAGACAACCTAAAGGTCTATTTGCTTCCTACTCAAACACAGGCAATGACATTTTGCCTGCCATCTTTGTAGGTGAAATCAAGCATTTTCAAGTTGGGAGAAAGATAGAGCCTCTATTTCTAGAACCAACTTGGGTTGACTTTCTAGTTGGAGTGAGGCATGTGACAGGGACATGGAGAGCTCTTGTGAGTGCTTCTGCTGTGGGAGATGTGGAGGACAGGGCCTGACACACACAGGAGAGAGACAGACAAGTCTGGACAGATTCTGTCTCCCACAGGAGTGTATCAGAGGTAGGAGAGCATAGCAAGGGTTGTTGGGATCAATTTAGGTTTTCTGGAACATAAGCCTGGAGTCAAAGTCAGCAGCACAGGTTGCTGGGAAGGTGTGAGTGAGTCTTCATGGGTTGCCAGCAAAATCTAGGACATGCAAGCTAAACAAGGCTACAGATGTCCACAGGTGATAAAGTGGACACATGGAGCATGACACAGGAATAATATGGAACATAAAAGGGAAACAGAATGTATTGACTAGTTTCTAGAGGTTACTTAAAACAAGCAAGTAAAAATTCTATTTCATAGCCTTGCAATAGATGTGCGTGTGCGTGTGTGTGTGTGTGTGTGTGTGTGAGACTTCCTAATTCTTTTTTCAGAGCGAGTAATAAAACTCAAACTGAATTTTGAATAGAAAAACCAGTTAAGCCTTAATTTTAATCTCTTGAGAATTCAAAAAAGAGCAAATTCAAAACAGAACTTAATAATTGCATTGCTCTCTGAAATTGAAATATATCAATATGTAAACAGACCTTTCCAGTCTTTCTTTTTTTGGTAGTTGAGAGGAAAATTTTAAGGTATCTTTGAGTGATTTGTCTTGCATGCTATTAATGTGTTATTTATTCTAATAATGCCTATGCAAACATTGTCCTCTACTGCCTTTTCTGTATTTAAAGAAATACATAAAAGAAAAATATGACTTACCAACATTTTAAAAATGAGGTTAGACAGGCTGTTTTTGTTTGTTGAAATAGTGTTCCCTAAGTAGCCTAGACTGGTCTCAAACTCTTGATTCTCCTGCCTCAGCCTCCAAGATCTGGGATTACAGATGTGCTCCCACATGTCTGTGAGACGCGCTGTGTTATGAATGCTCATTACAGTAGCTCTACATCTTCCACAAGGCTTTCTGGGATTTAGTATTTGTTACACCACTGCACAAAAGTTGACATTAGCAGGAAGAAAAAAAAGCTAAGTTACTGAATACAGATCCAATCTTAGATCATTAAAAGTATGAGCTGCTTTGAAACTGAAATTGTATGAAACACCAACAGGTTCTAAAAAAGAAAAAAAAGGAAGCGATAACATTTTGACTTATACTTTCACTATAAAGCCCCCCCAAAGTCAACAATTAGCCATAAAAAGTTGCTTTGTTTGCAGTGCTTTGTTTTCTTTTAAATGTCTGTAACAGCGTCAAGCACCTCAAATTCACATGTGAATAGGCTAGTGATGGATGGTGGGAATGAACAGTCCTAGAAGCTGAACATCACACTTAGTTGAAGTCTGGCCACCTCACTTGAAAGGGGTCTTTCCTGAATTCACTCATCAAGGCACCATGGACCATGTGGCAGGAGTGCTGTGGTCTGCCCCAGGGCACCAAGACCATCAAAATCAAGACATGGACCTTTAGGACATGACTATGCTTACTCACCACAGGTCTGTGTACATCCCAGAATGCTCTCTCTTGGCTATCGAGGATCTTTCTTTCAATTTTGTCTCTCTTCTTGTCCACTCTGTCAACATCACAACAACGAAGAGTAAGTAGTGGTAAGTGTGGTGCCTCTCTGGACAGAAGGCCACAACTTGAACAGAGCTTCCAAAAGACTCACAAGGACTCACTTTGCTTGTGCCTCCGCTTGCATAAAAATGAACTCCCACTTCCGGGCAAATGCTCTCTGCAGCCTGGCCAGGCTTTCCTGAAAAACAGCCCACAAAGGAAGAAGTTCTGGTGCTCACCTTCACTCCTCCCTCCTAGCTAATTTGCCATGTGTATTTGTGGAGAAAACAAATCTAGAATTTCTAAAGTACTAAGTGGGCTCTGGCTATGAAGAAATCATTCTCTCTGAATTCAACTAATCACAGTCTTTGAGGAAACAAAAAAACCCCCACCAACAACAAGTATAAAGTTTTATGAATAACTGACTTTACAGAACATAACTAAACATCCAATACATATCTGAAAACTACTGAAACTACCTTGTATGTGAAAAGTATTTGAGATAAATCCATTGGATTTTTCTGTATCCTACCACTGATTCAATCAGTTTATTCAGGTCCTGACAATAAATGCAAACCTTGGCACCCCAGTACCAATTCTGTATGATGCTTTGAATACAGTGAGTTACAATTCAGCAACTATTTGAGCAAGTTGTATGAGATTAATGTTATCTGGTGGTGGTGACCAACCTGAAGATTTTGCAAATACCCTGTTTCCAGGGTGATGGGTCTTTAATCTTCTGTAAAGATTTATCTAAACTCTACAGTCTTTACAGTTAAGTCAACTCTGGAGGATAAGATATGCTCCCCATTTCTACACTTTTATGTGCTTAGAATTTCACTGTCTTCAATGTGCATGAATGCAGGAAGCAAGCAAAGAGAGCTGCATTGTGCCAACTTGCTGCCTCATTCATGGAAATGTGATCCTTAAGACCCAGGAATGCAGAGGACCCAGAAATTTCCATGGCTCTTATTTCCATTCATTTTATACCTTTCTCTACTGGAAAGTCTTCGGTACTTACAGCTTCATAATCTGCAAGCTCTAGTCTTGCCTTATTTTGCATTGTTCTCTTGCAGAGGTAAACAGCTGAAAGGAAAAAGAAATCCACCATTTTTGTTTGGTTATTAACAATGATGCAGTATATATAAAATATAGCACCATCAATCAAGATGTTTGTCACTTTTTCCCCAAGTTGTATTTTTTTATCTTTTTAGATAATAAATGATTATAAAAATAGTACTGAAATTGAAACACAGTGGCCTTTGTGATGTCATAATTAAATAGAAACATTAAGAAATTTAGGTCTTTAGATCTAGGGCAAATAAGTAAATACAGCTATGTTGTAGGACTTGGGTTACATGACAAGGGTAGAACACATACAGGAGGCAGGGGGTTAGATAGCAAACCCAAAACATGAAAGCGTTTGATGTCCCCACTCCAGAGGAACTAATACAGAAACCTTAAAGCGACAGAGGTTAATATGAGAAGGGGATCAGGAACCAGTGTAAAGATCAGTTAGAGATGAATCAACTTGGGTTGTAACACGTTTGTACATGAAAGCAATGCTAGGAATCTCTCTGTATAACTATCCTTAACTCAACTAGCAAAAATGCTATGTTTTTCTTATTATTGCTTATTTCTACTCTTCAACAGAACTGGAGAAGAGCGCAGAACAGGTTCTGCCTGGAAGGGAGGGGGGAGGAGGGAGAGGATGGAGGTGGGTGGGGGGGCCAGAAATGACCCAAACAATGTATGCACATGTGAATAAATGAATAATAATAATAATAAAAGAAATTTAGTAGCCATTTCTTTATTTTTAATAAGTGGTTGTCATAATTTTTATCCTCACCAAATAAGGGGAAAAATCAAACCTTTAAGAAGAGGTAGCAAATGAATTTAAAAAATTTAATATACAAAGAAAGTTGTTTCATAAAAGGAAATCTATGAAGAAGGATTCATTCTTAGTACTTTCAATTACTTCCAGATTCTACTGTCAACTACAAGGATCTGTTAATGTAAAGGCAAGGCTTCTTGGCATCTTCACTGCTTCATTTTATAAGAGCCTTTCACCAGTCAGTTGCTTTGGTGCCAGAAGAAGAGTAGAACCTCTGACTACCCAAACTGTGCTACCTCTCCACACCATTTTCCTGGGGACTCAGACTCCTTGGCTGCCATCTTGGCAGCTTTGTAGGATGGTGACAGAGAAGAGAGGAAACCAACAGCAACATTGTCATCAAGACAATTTCTTCAGATATTGTAGGGTAACGTCAAGACATCTGGGGTCCTTCAGTAGAGTCCCACTTTCCAAAATGTATTTTGTCAAATTTTCCCATGAACTATGATACTTGAACCTCATGAAATTCAAGATAAACTATTTATATTTTAGATGATGAATAAAACCACTGGATGAGGCCTCTCGGGTGCTACTTTCTGTAAGGCCACCTCTGTGGTGCTATCTTACACATATGCCCTTTGCACGAAGCTATATCAGTGTTAGATTTAGCTAAGTCCAAGTGCTATACGGAAAATCTGAGACCACTGCAAACACACTATTTACTCAAATTCTGTCCTGTAAGATATCCAGCATGAAGGCCGAGTCAGCCATGGAAGGATGTTAACATTACTACAAATGCTAAGACACCAGTTTATGGTTTTAGAACACGAACATTCCATAATTGACCATGGTAATTTTATTTTTCTATTAACATTAGCAATTTTCAAAAATCGCACTTCAAAACCAAAACTGTGAATTTAACAAAACAACTAAAATGTTTTCACCAATTGGTAACAGAAATTATACAGGATATGTGCAGTAGCCCCAAGAGTGCCTCCTCATAAGTAAAAAACTAACTCTTCTTAAATGAAGTCTAATTAAACAATTAGAGCTTTCCTACAAAGTTACCTTGAGTCAGACTTCAAGCACAGGTAAGCCCTTCCTTGCTTTATTCATTCTGGTCATCCAGTCTTTGCTCTTGGCAAATCAGTCTCCTTTGGGGAGACATATTTATAACTGGTCAACTAAAAAGTTACAGCAAGAGAAAAGCATTTACAGAAAGTATTTCTTTAACACAGGAGTCCTATGATGTGATTTAAGAACTCTTTAGGGAACAAGTGACAGTGTGGACAGACATAGAGGAAAGGGTTCACATATATGAATAAATGAGTCAATATAATATTTTCAGAAGGTGCTATTTAAAAGTCAAATCCTGTAATAAAATCTAAGTGTCTACTAGATTCTTTGGAAAAGAGAAAAGAGGGGACAGATAAAAGTCTGGGTTAGCAGAGTAGAGAACAATCTGGATTCTGTTGAAGGTGGAAAGGCCCCAACGTCACCAGTTGAGTTTAGACATACTTATAGTATAAAGACAGGTATGAACAACACTTTCACTTTTTGTGGGCAGGGAGCACCAGCACTGTGGCAAGAAGTGGACAAGGAAGGTGGATTAAGTAGAAATAGGTTCCAGTTTCAGGAAATCTTCCAATCTAAAAAATAGAAGAACGAGAGGACTTGTGCATAGACAGAACTGTGGCTCAGGTAAGTGGTTTTGTGGGGATTTTTAAATATTTAGGCAAAGAAAGTGCTCCATATTATGTAGGACATAGGCCCAGATACAAAGAATGAATCTTTTTAAACATACCCTTGAATATCTTCTGCTGTGAGAAAATACTGAAACCATCAATTTAAAAGTCACTTCTGGCGTTCTATTTAAAATAATTTCAGTTGCTGAGGACTTCATTTCAATACCAAGTGTAAATATTTATCTGTGTAATAACTTCCTGGGAGACCATATGACACAATTTTGAGGACTCAGTGGGGTCAAGAAAACAAGACTATTCAATAAGAGACTCTGCTGCTACGTGGGAGAAAGCCAGAGGGTCCTGAAGAGCTACTTGGGCTGACTCAGGCACAGAGTGCAACTTAGAATTTAGATGGAAAAGCCAAAGCTTCTAGATCATGACTGAATGAATAGGAATTAAATAGGGAGTGAATTTAATTTCATAAGTCTCTCTGAGGCAAAGCAGTCTCTTGTGAAAACACTGATGTCCCTGATGAAAGTGTCAAGAGTCATAACAAACAGATCCACAGGAAAACTACAACAAACCCAGTTTCTAAAAGCCAAGATGCCCCAGCACTGACGAATGGATTAAGAAAATGTGGTATCTATACACAATGGAATTTTATGCAGCCATGAAGAAGAACGAAATGTTATCATTCGCTGGTAAATGGATGGAATTGGAGAACATCATTCTGAGTGAGGTTAGCCTGGCCCAAAAGACCAAAAATCGTATGTTCTCCCTCATATGTGGACATTAGATCAAGGGCAAACATAACAAGGGGATTGGACTATGAACACATGATAAAAGCGAGAGCACACAAGGAAGGGGTGAGGATAGGTAAGACACCTAAAAAATTAGCTAGCATTTGTTGCCCTTAACACAGAGAAACTAAAGCAGATACCTTAAAGCAACTGAGGCCAATAGGAAAAGGGGACCAGGAACTAGAGAAAAGGTTAGATCAAAAAGAATTAACCTAGAAGGTAACACACATGCAGAGGAAATCAATGTGAGTCAATGCCCTGTATAGCTATCCTTATCTCAACCAGCAAAAACCCTTGTTCCTTCCTATTATGGCTTATACTCTCTCTACAACAAAATTAGAAATAAGGGCAAAATAGTTTCTGCTGGGTATTGAGGCGGGGGAGAGGGAGGGGGCGGAGTGGGTGGTAAGGGAGGGGGTGGGGGCAGGGGGGAGAAATGAACCAAGCCTTGTATGCACATATGAATAATAAAAGAAAAATGAAAAAAAAAAAAACAAAAAAAACCCAAAACCCAGTTTCTAAGTATGGAAAGTCACAAAGACATAATTCATGAAGACTATAAATACAAATGCCAAATATGTACCTGGTAAATATCCAACTTATAACCCAATTGATTCAACTGGAACCTACTGTCATGATGAAACTTTATGTTTTATAAGTCTTTTAATATGAATTGTGTGGGCCAATTCTTGCCCTGTTCTTGCATTTAAAAGCTCAGGCAATCCCCTCAATCTTGCTTTTCATGGCCGTTCAAAGAATACCAAATTACAGAGAATGTCCTACTCTCCTTTTGTCTCTCCTCTAAGCCCCACCAACTGAGGTTCTTAAACCTGAAGCTGGAGCACAAGAAGGAAGGAGAGAGAACAGTCAGCACAGACGCTTTTTCTTAATTGGAATAGATCTTTTTCTTCCGTAATATTTGATGCAGAATTTGAATTTTATAGCCAAGATAAAAGGTCAAAGCTGGTAGGGAACTGAAATACAATATGCACATCACAGGAACTTAATTTTTATTTGTTATTTCATTACTTTTGTTTATTAAAATTGGCCAAATGAAAATTGTCTATATTCATGACATACAGAATGATGCTTTGACACATGTGCACAGCACGAGATGACTAAATCAAGCTCATTGCTCATACTCATTACCTCATCATCCTCAGCTGTTTTCTGTTTTGAGAACACTTGAAATCTACTCTCTTAGCTATTTTCAAGGCTAGGTGGTAACTACTATCACAAGCCACACAAGAGGTCTCCAAACCTTATACCTTCTAACTAAAATGCTGTATCCTTTCCACACACCTCCCTATTCCTTGATTCTGGCTGGCAACCTTAATAACCTTCATTCTACTCTCTGCTTCTTGAAATCAACATTTTTAGATTCCACCCATGAATGAGATCATGTGGTATTTGTCTTTTTGTGCCTGGCTTATTTCATTTAACATAATGTCTTCCAGGCTCACCCACGTTGCAAATGACACAATTTCCTCCTTTTTAAAAAAGGTTAAATAGCATTCTATTGCGTATATGTACCACATTTTCTTTATCCATTCACCCATTTGTGGATATTTGATTTCCATGCCATGGTTATTGTGAATAGTACTGCAATGAAGAAGGGTGTGCAACTGTTTGTTCAACAGAGTGATTTCATTACCTTTGATATTACCCAGTAAACAGATTGCTGGATTATATGGAGCTTCCATTTTTCATTATTTTGATGATTATCCATATTGTTTTCCATAACGGCTCCCTATTACTGTATAAGA